TGACTGAGGACCCCAAGACAGAAGTGCCCCTACATGCCCTCCATACCTATTTCTAAGACAAATGTCTACCACCCCCTCCTATCCCTGTCACTGAGGCAGAAGGTATGAGCCTCATAATCCCTCACCCTACCCACCTCCCCAAATTGCCATAGTTAATTAACCAGAGTTGTCTCTACCCCCAGTACTTCTCATTCTTCCCCACTCCTTAACTCACTGAACTCTGGCTTTTGTGCCTCTCACTCCTCTGGTGTCACCAGAGCCACCTAACTGCCAAATCCAGTGCATTCTGGGAAGCGTCTGACACTTAACTCCCTCCTTCAAGTTCACTCCTCCTTCTGTTTCCCTATGGAGCGGAGGCTCCCAGTGCTCCTTCTCTCTCTCAGTTCCATTTTTAGGCCTTTCCTTCTTTGCATGTCCCTTAACTGCTGGTGTTGCCTGGGTTCTGCCTTTAGCTCTATCTCTGAGTGATCTAATCCTCCCCTCCACTCCCACCACACAGGCACGTGTGCACATGTGCACACGCACACACACAGATACTGCTGCCATAGCCTCAGTTACCATTTATAAGCCGTGGAACCCCAGTGTCTACCTGTATCTAACTAAACACAGATATATCCCACAGACTGTTGGACACCTCCAGTTGGGTGCACCCAGCTCATTTCGTTTCTTATAACATGGTCTTCTTTCTCCAACTAGGGCCATATATCTCTTGTACTCCATCGCATGCCTCCTATATAATGCGCTCATAGAAATGACTCAATAGGGACCAGCAGTTAGCGTAATGGCTATGTCGCTGGACTCCCAAATAGTCAACCGCGGTTTGTGTCCCGGGCCCGGTGGCTTAAAACTCATGCTGGGCGCATGTGCGTGCATGCCCAAGATCCCGGGAGGAGACTGGAGGAGAAGGGATTGTGGTGTGGCCATCCCCCCTGGGGGGTGATTTCTCGCTTTCTGTCTCTCTGTCTCTCTCTGTCTGTCTGGCGAGTGCACGCACCCTATAGCAAAAACCTCTTCCAAAAAAAAAAAAAAAAACTCAATAAACAATTTAAAAAGGGATGAATGAGTGCCTGCCAAGAGGAATCTGTCCACTGGCTGCTCAGGATCCTGGAAATTTTTTTCTCTTTTTTTTTCTTTTTTTGCCATAGGGTGCATGTACTCGCCACAGAGACAGAGAGAGAGAAAAAAAAGAGAAATTCACCCCCCCCACACACACACACACACAGGGGGGATGGCCACGCTGCAATCCCTTCTCATTCTCCTCCTGGGATTTTGGGCATACACACATGTGCCTGTCATGTTTCAAGCTGTTGGGTCTGGCACTTGAACTGTGGTCAGCCTGTGGGAGTTTAGTACCTTCACCTCCACACCACCTGCTGGCCTCCTGGAAAATATTTTGATGAACTGAGATTCAAAAACAAAAATTGAGAAACTCTGAGCAAATCCATTTCAGCCATTTAGGAATTACAAAATGGGGAATTGCTGAGAAAATCTGGAGTTACTGACTGGCAAAAGTTGGAAGCAGTGGTAGAGATAAATCCTGGGAATCTTTTTTTTTCTCCTTTTTTCAAAAATATTTTTCTTTATACCTTAGAGGTTTTTTTTTTTAAGAATTATTTTATTTATTTATTTAAATTTGATCAGAGAGGGGGAGAGAGATAGAGAGAAAGAAAGTGAGAAAGCAAGCCACCAGGTCTGGGACCAGAACCATGGTTGGCCATGTGGGAGTCCAGCGCCCTCAACCA